GGTAGTCTGTTAGCGTTGGTCAGTAGTAGTCCAAATTCAATATGAACGTTTGTTTCTTGAAAATTTGATCACGATTTAAATACAGTATTTACTTTTAATATTGCCGATATGTCATCGAAAAGAAAACGTGTTGTATTATCATTAAAAGACAAATTAAAGTATTTGTTTCGATTATCCGGATTTTTCCTTATCTGGACTACCTTCATCCCCAATTAGTCCAGATAATTGAGGTTCTACTGTACTTATTTAAATGTTCAAATTAAAAAATAAGCAAATAGATTAATTCAATATACAAATGAGTTATTTTACAATAAAAATTTCTTTCTTTCTATACATATTTAGAAAATTTAAATATTCTTTCACTCTTTAAAATATCTTGAACTTAAATTCTTAAATATTCAATTCTTTACATCTTATAAATAAATAATCTATAAGGAATTATACATATAAAATTAATTGCTTAAAATACACAAAACATTATTTAGAATATTATTTTTATTTAAAATAAATTTTTCTTTTTTCAATTATATTATCATAAACATGAGAGCTATTTTTATAAATGAATAATTATTTGTTTAGTTTTCATTGTCTTTTTTTTTTGATAGAACACAATAACAGCTTGATAAGCTTCAGATAAGCAATAGAGTTATTTTAAATCGGCTACATTCAATATTAATCATATCATGACAATAATTATTGTTTAGATCAGTGTTTCTCAACCTCTAACAAATCGTTGCCTCCTTCAGTAAAACCGTTACATAGTATCGCCCCCTTCACACCAAAATTCCGATGCCGAAAGCCAAGGCTAATGCCAAATTCGTACTGCATTGAATAGACTAGTGACTAGTATAATGCTATTTGTTTAATTATTGTACAATATAACGAATAAAATATCTAATTATTCTTAATATAATGTTTTACTATATCGCCCAGAAAATTGTTTTTCGCCCCCAAAATATAAATCGTTACTAATCGACCCCTCAACATGGAAAAATGCCCACATGGGGCGATATTGCCCCTGTTGAGAAACACTGGTTTAGATTGATAATCTATATAAATTCCATCCAAAATGGTTATAATTTCATTATTTTTCTATCCATTTCAGCTTTTAACATTTAAAATATATATACTGTATATCTTTCTACTGTTAAACAGAGATAGTTATCTTTAGCCTTGTGTCTAGTTATTTACTAATCATGTAAGTCTACACATCCAAATTCTACTTTTACATGGTAGATATGTTCTTGAAAAATAGATTGTTTCCAAATTTCCAGACCTTAAAAACCAATTAAATTAATATAATAGGATGTGTTTAAATAAAAGAATTCAAATTTAATTAATAAATCAGAGGGACAATTGTAACTTACTTATCAATAAAATTTAATAAATTAGCACAAATTTTATTTTTTATTTAACATTTTCCATTAAAGACTAATACACATCTAGCTTTTATCATCACATGACATATAAAAACAGTTCCATTTTAAAATAAAATCAGGAAAAATGCAATCATACAAACAAATCATCAAACTTTGAATAAAATTTTTATGAATGCTTCGATCATGGGATAATGTCAGAACAAAAGATACTGTAACACGAGTTCATATAAGTCAATAGCCAAATCTTAAAATTCTAAGAATTGTTTTTTAAAAACGGAAATTTTCTAGGAAAGGAAGTATGAATAGTTTTTGTTAGAATCTAAATCAAATGAAATTTTTAAAGAAATGTGTTAGATCAAAACAAATAGTGTAAAAACAGAATAGGGTGTAGTTAGTTGTGCCTTGTTCCAAAACTGTACTATTTAATTATTCAATTAATGTTGTATTGTATACTTGCCAATTAGAATGTACTTCATTTGCAATACTAACACTATTCTTTATCCTTCTCATAATTTCATCAAATATATTACATATTAATATTTCTAAGGATAATGCATTACTTAGATTAAATATATTTTTCCTATGAATTCTTTCAGTTGATAACTTAATAAATTTCATAAAAATACTTGAGAAGAGAGAGAATTAAAAGAATCTGATTCAATTATCCATAGGAATATAGTATTAAGAGACTTTTTCCATAGGTTTCATCCGAATAATGACCAATAAGTGGTAACATTTTGCAAGTTAACCAAATAATTAGTTTGGCCATCTTTATTTCCAAATTCTCATTGATGAAAATTAACTATTTAGAAAAATAAATATTCAGAAAAATTCTAATTGTCTTTATGCTGTCAAACTTACTCATTACACTTATTTTTGTCTATATGTTACTATACATTTATTTTATTTTCATTTCTGTTGTTCTTTTAGACAGTTTAAATTTACTTTATAAATAAGTGTATATTTTATTATGAAAAGACTTCTTTAGAAAAATATTTACCTTCTTCTCATTTTCAATAAACCATACACACGAAAAGAAACAGAAGACAGAATATCACAATCAGTTTTTACTTTTTTAATATAAAGAATCATTTAGAATAATTCTTGGTTTGTAGAAAAATAAACCATAAAGACAGAATATTCTTTAGTTCAGAAGAAAATATATTAATTTAATTAAAAATTGTAGTTAAATTTTTGACAGTTAATTTCAAAGAATAATCAAGAATGTACAAATTATATTTGACATATTTATAAAGTCAATATCTGAGCTTGTCTGATCAAAATTCAATCACAAGATCATCAGACTCATAAAATTTTGACATTTTTAAACTTCAATATAATGTTTGAAAATTCAGAAATGACTACATTACTCTGAAATCACAATACTTACTCAAATGTGTTTCATTTGTTTGCATTCAAAAACATGCAAAAACATAGACAGATTACAGAAGGCAAGTAGATGGAAAATTAATTTAAATCAGTCTAACGTAACACTCGACGACAAAAGATTTTATATTCAGTCAACTGTAGAAGAAAAAGACTATTGACAAGAATGAGAAAATATTTTATTTGAGTAAATATGATTTTGTAAAAGATTTTTACCCTTCTAATTTCAATTTAATAATATAATTATGAGACTAATATCAAATGACTTGTTTTTCAAACTTATTGTATAATTACAAGATTAACACAGACAATTAACTAATCAAATTTTAACCATTTAAGTTTCAAAAGATGAAGTTATTTATAAGTTTTTAATAATCCAACTGAATGCCAATTCTTTATCATCATCATCATTTCAATATACAGCAAAACTTTTAAAAGAGCCCATTTTCAGTCTCCTCAGAAAAAAAAATATTTTCAAATTCAAATAAATCTATTTAGTGGTTTGTTTCAAGATGACAGTTTCTGATATCATTTACTCAAAAAACCAGATGAACAAATCTGACTTTTCAGAAACAAAGTACTTATTAAGCCATTAAGTATATACGAGTCGTATGTAGTATAGTGCAGTGGTCGGCAACCAGTGGTCTGTGGAGCAGTAATGGTCTGCAAGAAAATCTGGATGGTCTGTGGAGGAATTTGGACATTGATCAATTGAAGGTTACGTGAAGTATTACAAAAGAAATGCAAAATGCTTAGTTGCTTTTTTTCACTCAATGGGTGTTTTTTATTTTAATCTAAAACCATATATAAAGTGACTGTTATCAATAAATAATGAACAATAAACAATATTGCGAGTGCAATTGTCGTCCTGTGTGAAAAAACACTAACAATTCATAAACTTATTTCAAACAAGCAGCAATGAACTTTAGGCTTGCATTAATTTGCTATAATTAAACAAGTGAGTTTCACATTAATATACAGTAGTAAAATTGAACTTTTATGATCATTATCCTACAGATTTTGTATCATTTAAAAAAATTCACGATAATGGTCTACGGTATTCAAAATTGTAAGTTTAGTGTCCGTGAGGTCAAAGGTTGCAGACCTCTGGTGTAGTGGGTGTGTTGTCTGGTAAAGCAGCTTTAATATAGCTGGATAAGCAAGCCATATTAAAGTTGCTTTACCAGTCAAAGAAAAAGCTATATTTGATGAAATTAAACATTAATAATTAATCAGTTTTCAAAATTATATATATGTCATTACAATCACATGACTACTTACTTAGCTACTAACAAATAAAATCCTCCAAGTGAGAGGAGAGAGATTCCAACATGGAAAACAATTACTACAGATCCATATTCTTTAACAGCTCTTTTAAGTTTCTCCTTCTGACTTAAATGAACAACTTCTTTTGATTTATCTAAAAATTAAATTTTGACAGAAATTACATCATTAATTTAAACTTCGAGCAATTAAATATGAATTAAATCACCTTGTATATCCTGTTTCGATGATAATATTCTTATCTGTGAAGGAAATATACGAAAATCTTTCAAAGGATCATTAAATTTATTCTTCACGTAAAAATCATAAGCTTTAAAACTGTTATTTAATCTTAAATAACGAAAACTTCTCGAATATATTGTTAAACACGTCATGGAAAACACTATACACTTACACAAGTGATACAATCACATTCGTGTAATCTACAAGTTTTTCAAATTTCAACCAATCACATACGAGATAACGTAAGGGAAAGGNTAATTGGCATAGCATTGCAGAAACTGGAAAGGCGGCAAGTGCTGATAAAGAGGCTATGTCTTACCATCCAGAGAAATTCAAAGCTACGATAGATAAAGGTGGCTATAGCAGCCAAACCATATTCAACATAGATGAGACTGGCCTGTTCTGGAAGAAGATGCCTAAAAGAATGTTTACATTTCATGTGTGAAGAGAAAACCTGTCCAGATTTTAAGGCCACCAAAGATTGACAGTGCTGGTTGGTGCGAATGCAGCTGATGATTGTAAGTTAAAACCTCTCTTAGTTTATCACTCGGAAATTCCAAGAACATTGAAAAATAAATCTAAAGCTGGCTTGCCTGTGATTTGAAAGTCAAAGCTTCCCTTTTTGAGGATCTTCAGGTATGAAGTGATGACCTTTCTGGCCATCACTTCATACCTGAAGTTGAATGTTATTGCCAATCTAAGCAAATTCCATTTAAAGTGATGCTAATAATTGACAATACACCAGGTCATCCCCCTGCAACTTTAACTAATTTTGACCCATGTGTGAAAGTTGTATTTTTTCCACCAGCTTGTTTCAACCGATGGATTAGGGAGTCATCAGAACACGAGATGATCATTTGCACATCTACATGAAGCTATGAGACAAAACAATGAGCTCTCTGTTAAAGACTTTAGGAAACATTTTTTCTAAATTATTGTTTTCTTTAGTCTTTGGCCCCAATTAAAAATAATTTGTATGTATTTATATGCGAAATTATACCTCGACTTACGCAGTTATCACTTGGTCCCACCTATCGCATAAGTTCAGGGTATTACTGTATGTACTAAAATCTTCACTTTATTTTCCTTTTCTGGCTGTTATGTATACATAACAAGGGAAAGTATTGGAATTATGTCAAATTCAACCCTCTGAGTTTTTTTTGCAAATCTCCATGTTTTAAGACAATCTGAATCCAAAAAGTAAAAGCAAACAGGCAAAAAAATTCCACAGATGTGTGTGTGTGTTGGCATCTATTTCATTTAATATCTCAGAATGGGGTAAAGATTATGAAATGAAATTTGGCATGATAACTAGTATATGAAGGACATTGATGCCATTAAATTTTGGTGGTTAAAGGTGAAAAGGGTGAGGAGATGAAGGCATTCGTATCATATCTCGAGAGGGATAGGACTTAATGAAGATTTTGTTATTAACATTTATACTTTTTTTTTTTTTTTTTTTTTAAAACTTATCCCTACCATTAAAATT